AAGTGAGTCAGTAGGTCGAGCAGGGAAGGGAGGGCACCTGAAGCAGAGAATCTACTTCAAACAATGGTTCCTAGGGATAGCCTTATATATTTCAAAACATGTTTGAAATCTGAAAAAAGGCAAAAAAAAAAAAATCTAGACAGAGGACAGTAATAAAGAGTGCAGAGAAGAGCAACAAGGATGATTAGGAGACTGGAGGGTAAAACATATAAAGCAGGCATCTCCAAACTTGGCAACTTTGAGACTTGTGGACTTCAACTCCCAGAATTCCCCAGCCAGCATGGCTGACTGAGAAATTCTGGGAGTTGAAGTCCACAAGTCTTAAAGTTGCCAAGTTTGGAGACTTCTAATATAAAGGATGGTTGCAGGAATTAGTCTAGTGAAAAAAATACTAGGGGGAGACATGATAGCAGTGTTCCAATATTTGAAGAGCTGTCACAAAGATGAGAGTATCAAACTATTTTCCAAAGCACCTGAACGCAAGACAAGAAAAATGGATGGGAACTAATCAAGAAGAGAAGCAACCCAGAAGTTGTTGTGGTTTGTTGACTGCCAGTGGAGATAGCAGTTGAGTCAGAGGAGATGGAGGGGGTGCCTGGGTTACCATCGGACCGGTGGAAGGCTTTCTGGAGCAGAAGGTCTCGGAGCCAGATGCAGAGCAGGGTCCATCTACTAATGCTCATGTGCAGAGACAGCTGTTTTGGGGCCTGAGCTGAGTGAGTGGGAGGAACAGCTGGCCCCTGTCCCAGATGCACATATACGTAGAGAAGTGTGGAGAGGAGAGCAGTGCAGGGCTGCGGGCCATCCATCCAGGAAAAGGAGATGTTAATAAGCCCCTCCCTGGCTGGGACATAAGGAGGAGGGGATGGGAGGGGTGATTTTTGGAGACATCCATTCATGCTCCAGAAGAGTTCCCTCCAGCAGATTCCTTGCCAGGATTTCCTTGTCACTAACCAGGTTGGTCAGGACTCTTTGTGTTGGGATTGAAATGCTAATTGAGGCTCCCTGTGGGGGAGAATGTTACAGCTTGTAAATCACCTATGGATGTGTGACCTGTAGCTTTGTCAGTGAATGTCATGAATTCCTGCCTTTCTAAGTAAAAAGGTTTTTTTCCTCAGGAGTAGGCTGTTGAGTAGGCTGTTGTGAAGGCTGGGTCAGAATAGAAGGAGAAATAAGAACAATCAATCATTGGGATGGCTTGCCTCCAGAAATTGTGAGTGCCCAATCACTAGAGGCTTTTAAAAAGAGCCTGGAAAGCCCTTTGTCTGAAATGGAATGGGGCCGTGATGGCGAACCTATGGCACACATGCCAGACATGGCATGCAGAGCCCTCTCCATGGGCATGTGTGCGGTCGCCCCAGCCCAGCTCCAATTGTGTTTCACTCAATCAATCCCAACTTCTTGTGAAAGAAAAAGATCTTGCGAAGTTGGAATTGATTGAATGAACTTTTTCACTCGCACGCTTCCACAATGGGGGAGACGGGATCCTGTCCTCCTCCTGAAGCCCATTATGACACGGATGCGACCCTGCATTGGCTCAGCTCGGCAAAAAAAAAACCCAGTTTCTTTTCCTGCAGAGCTGCCAGTGTTGGGATGCCCCGCCTCCCTGCCGGCCAGCTGAGCTTCTTCAGGCACTTAGCTTGGCCACCGATTAGCTCCACCCCACCATCCGCCTCAACAAGTGGTGCACAAAAGTTCAGCCAGACTCCTTGAGAGATAGAGTTTTCAGGGGCCGATCTAGCACCCGGGCTGGCTGTGTTCACCTGGAATGAACACAAACATTCATTCTTGACTTTGAGATTCCTAGATGCAATGGGCAGCAAAGCTAGGTTCATCCCCCTGATCCAGCAGCTGGAAAAGGGGGTGGAGAGAAACAGCCCCATTGCCAAGGTACGCGTGGCTTGGAGGAGGGCAGAAATTCCAACTTCAGCCTCCTGGTGCGACACGGGGCTTTGGGTAAAGGCTGGAGGGAAGCACCTCTGGCTCGTTCACGTTCTCCCTCCCCAGGTGTGTGTGTGTGTGAGAGAGAGAGAGAGAGAGAGAGAGAGGGAGGGAGAGAGAGAGAGAGAGAGGGAGAGAGAGAGAGAGAGGGCATCGCCACCAGCCCTGATATAACTCTCCAAGATTGGATTGGATCTCTCTCCCCACACACACACACACACACACATAGATTGGATATATTTATTCCTCCCTCCCTCCCTGCTTTAGGCAGGCTTAGAAAGTTTGCCAGACCCGGCATGCTGAAGACACCCCTCGCTCACCCCTTTGCCTGGCTTCCCTCCTCCCTGGTCTCCTCGGTGCTCGCTCACGTTCTCCCTCCCCAGTAGCTTGACTCAGGTGACAGCGCAGCTCACTATGCCCTTTCCAAGCCCGCTGTTGGTGAAGCTGGGCGCTGGTGAGGGCAAAGTGAGCTGCACTGTTGCCTGAGTCAAGCTACTGGGGAGGGAGAACGTGAGCGAGCACCGAGGAGACTGCAGAGGAGGGAAGCCAGGCAAAGGGGTGAGTGAGGGGTGTCTGCAGCATGCTGGGCTTGGCAGACTTTCTTAGCCTGCCTAAAGCAGGGAGGGAGTGTGAGTGAGAGAGAATGAGTGAGGAAGAGAATGAATGAGAGAGACAATGAGAGAGACAATGAGAGAATGAGAGAGAATGAATGAGAGAGAATGAGAGAGAATATAAGAGAGAGTTATATCAAGGCTGGCGGCCGTTCTCTCTCTCTCTCCCCCTCCCCCTCTCTCTCACACACATACACGTCCCACCCACTGGAGCGCCCTGGATTTCCTCCCCAAACTACCCTGAACACGCCCGATCCCATCTGATCTCGGAAGCTAAGCATGGTCAGGCCTGGTTAGTACTTGGATGGGAGACCCTGCCTGTCTCATACAGGCATCATCCACATGAGTGAGAGTTAGCCATGCCCACTCAGTCACATGACACCCCCCCAACCACACCTACCCAGTCATTAGGAAGAATCAGTTGTTAAATTATTTGAATCCCATTACTAAACCTCAGAATTCAAGTTAAATTTCTGTGTTGGCACTTTGTGCTAAATACCGTATATATACGGTATTGCAAAGGAAACACGGAAGCAGGGAAGCGGCTGTCCAGCTCCGGAGCTCCACACCATTTTTTTTTCAGAGGGGAATCTCACTCGAGTATAAGCCAAGTTTTTTTTTTTCAGCACAAAAAATGTGCTGAAAAACTCGGCTTATACTTGGGTATATACGGTAAGTGGGTTTGGGGTTGCAGTTTGGGCAGTTTCGCCATCACTGGTATAGGGTTTCCTGCTCAAAAAGGGAGTTGGATTAGATGCAGTGGTGGGATTCAGCTGGTTCTGACCAGTTCAGCAGAACCAATACCTAAATTTTTGCTGAATTTGGCAAATGGTTAGGCGTGTTCCAGAAAATCTGTGTTCTGGAACACTTCTGGTTTTGTTCTGGAACACTTCTGGTTTTCATTCAACTTCTTTCCAGGCAGGAAAAAAAAAACTCTCCCCAAAAGTCCAAGAGAGGAGCAATGGAAACCAAACAGAGACACGAGGCCTTCCATCATGTCACTCAGGCAAAAACTGTCTTACTTTACAGCAGGTGGCAGGGGTGGCAGCCCAGGGCCAAAGCATCAACAGAGTCCCAGAGGGTTAGGGAAGGTACTGAAGCGAGCGAACATCCTGCCTGCAGCATCCATGCAGCCTGCTCCTTCCCAGCCAGAGCTGGAATGCCACCACATTTAAGTGCCGGTAGATGCGGGCCTTTCCTCTGGCGGGCCTGAGCAGGTGCTGGAGAGAGACGGGCCCATTTCAGCACCTGGAGCCCAGACGCTCTCGCTTCCCCCAAGCATTTCTTTGCCAACCTGATCTCCAGCTCTGTCGCGTTTTTCCATCGTGTTTCTCGCCATCGTGTGCAGGAAAACAAAAGTTTGTGGGACTAAAAATAAAGTGCAATCAATTCCAACTGCTCGCAATAGAAATCTCACAAAATTGGAATTGAGCTTTTTTTTTTTTTGTCCCACAAACTTTTGTTTCCCTGCACATGACGGTGAGAAACACAACGGAGAAAGGTGACAGAGGACGGGGATGGGCCACGCCTCCCACAATGGCCAACCTGACCCTGGGCAAACTGCTTGTTAAATTATTTGAATCCCACCACTGACTAGATAACCTCCATGGTACCTTCTAACTCTGTTATTCTATATTCTAAAGAGCACCCACAGTTGATACCACTTAAAGTAGGGCTTCATTGTGAAGTTCTAGTTGCTACTGACAGAGTTTAAATAGGAAAAGTATCTTCTCACCATAATCAAATTTTAATACCAGCACCAAATATTTAGGGCACTCAAGATCAAACCAGCACCTTCAATGGCAAAACAAGGACAGCAACAATACGTTTCAATATATATATGATTACAATGGCTTTCACATGACTGACCATTTTAAATGTCAGAATTTCTGGATTGTCTTCAATGTCAGAACCAAGAGAGCACCTGGAATATTCTAACATAAGCATTATTGTAGAATAAACATTAGAAGACATATATGTTTTTCCAGTTCAGATAAGGCAGGTGAAATTATAACAAAGTACACTAGGCCACTAGTATTTAGACCAAGTTTAAGACATGGACTTCAACTCCCAGAATTCCTGAACTAACATGACTGGAGGAGGAATTCTTGGAGTTGAAGTCCACAAGTCTTAAAGCTGACAAGTTTGAAGACCCCTGATTTAGACCTTGAGAAAAATCCCCTGCCAATGTGATCCTTAAAGGAAAGTATTTCCTTAAGAAAGAAAGCAACCCTGCCATAACTATGTCATATAGACTAAACTTCAATTCACTCATCCTGATACAATCTATCATGTCATGTAATTCATGTAGTCTATGAGCTGTCAAATGTTTCGCCTGATCTGATGTCATAGATTAGTTGTATATTATATGAAGCACTTGTGTAATTATTTTAAGGATAAGTACAGCTTCTTTTATAATAAAATATAAAACATTTTACAAATACTCACAGTGTAAGGATATGCTCCAGAACACCAAGTTGTGGTTTCTAGTCCGATAAAGTCTACACCTGGAAAATAAAGCTCTCCAATGTTGATAACTTGGCCTATGCTTGCCAGATAGAGACTATTTTCAATCAAAATGTAGGCATCTGGAAAAACAATTCCTAGTGTTTTGACTTTGTGAATCATGGTAGATAGTATGAGGCTTGGAGGAAATTTTAGTTCTACTACATTTAAAAATCCATTGCTGGTGTGGAAGATCCCATCAACTGTCACTATGAAAGCTGTTCCTGGATAACAGGCACACCATTCTATTATGGGTTCACTATCAGCTGGAAGAGTAACAGAAATTCCTGTTTTGGGGCCTAATATATATATAGGCTGGGCAATAGTAAAAGGAGTATCTTGAACAAAACAATCCTGAAAAGTAACTACTTTGCCAACAATGGTTGCCATGTTGTCATTTGTTTCGCTAGGTACTTCAAATGTCCATATTCTGAAAAAAAAACCACCAAAAAAACACAATACAATTAGCTATTATATCTTTATAAACAAAGTATTTGAATATGTTTTTCATCAATATGATTTATTCCCTAATTCTTTTTAATAATGTTTACCTATAAGCTTCAATTACTTCCCAATTAAATGCTGAACTTAAGTCCTAAAAAGCAAATTTTGCTGAAGAATTCAATGAAAATAATAAATCGGTCAAATAGCATTTCAATTTAATATTTCAATATATATTTATATTTCAATATCCACAAGCAGATCTATACAAACATATTCTATCAATGTTAAAGCTGTAGCTGTGAAATATATTGTACTTATATTCTCAGTAGCACAGTTCTTGTGCTTATCAGATGGTTACTGAGCATTAATTCATTTTAGAATCGTCACTAATCTAATGCCTCACATGTACAAACAGATTTCAGAGGAGCTCTTGTCCAAATTATCAACAAATGTATATATTTGAGGAAATGCACTCCTTGAGAACCAAATGTCAGTAAAATTCAAATTTGTTATTTTCATCATTATGCAATGATCTAAATGTATGTCAATCATCTGGACTGCTTTTGAGACAGTGCATTTGTCTATTATTTTGGGTTTAAAGTCCAGATGCAAAGTTTGCATATGGTTTGTGGAACCTATTAAATGGATGTCTATTAAACTGAAGTTTTAGTGTAACAGTTCTCCATCCACTTCTATAGAATTATAACAAAGATGTATATCACATAGACCAGCCAAGAAATTATTCTGCATAGGCTGCTAGAATAGTGACTATATTAGCAATACCAAAAAGATTAAAATAAAAAGTTACCTCAACGGTCACATAATTAATAGCCATTCTTTCAGGTTGCAGAACTGAATAGAATCCAATATGATTAGTCCTCACTTAACAACCCAGATGGGAACGGCAATTCCATCACTAAGCAACACGGTTCTTAAGCTAAGTATCATGTGACTGAATTGAACTTAATGTCATTTGTGTTGAGGTTATTAAGTGCATCAGCTGCAATTATTAAGCAAAACGTCATGTGACTGTGACTTGAAATTTTACTAACAGCTTCTTTATTGATTTTCTCAGAAGCTTATTATGAACCATGCAAATGGCAATCATGTGACTATGGGATGCTGAAACAGTCATGAATGCCCAGTGCTTGCAAAGCACTTGAATTTTGATAACTGCAGGGACTTGTTGCCTCTCATGATGGCCATTCCCATCCCCGGGCTTATTTTTGAGGTAGGGCTTATATTAGGTCCACCACAAAAAAAATCAGGCTAGGGCTTATTTTTGGGCTGGGTCTTATTTTTGTAGAAACAGAGTAGTAACATCATTATTGTAAGGGTGATATGGAGTGAAATCCATTTCCTCTGTTGGAAAACCAACTATGGTATTTATATCTTTTTCAATAGCCATCTAGTTTACAACCATTCCATCATAGTTTTACAGGCTACCCAACCAAGCTTTGAATTGCTGAATTACCTTGGGGTCCTTATGTTCCAGTAAAAAATGAACATAAAATTATTCAGTCTGTCCCAGAAATTGTGTTAGAAGGTGTGTTAGTAGCTTTTTATGTATGTCTCAAGAGAAGATAGAATACAATAGAATATGAGATTGGATCTCAGTGTAATCATTTTTACAAGGGCAGATTATTTTCACATATGGAATTTTATATTTTACATCCAACTCTGCTGATGATACAGTATTAATTTGTAACACTTGCTGAAACCTATTGTTTGTAGGATGATCTAAGTACAATGCGATTCTAGGAAAACTCACTATGGCCAACTCGCCACAGGACAACTTTCCACAGAACAATTCAACACTTAATTAATAATTTCATTCAGGCACTTTTATTATTAGTCACCATGTTTTTGTCAAAATCATTGTAATTCTTATATTTCTGGATTGACTTTCTTTCTTTTATTATTATTGGCTCTGGTTCCATCAAAATTAATTTCTTTTGTATTTGTTGAATTGTCCTGTGTTGTCCCCTGGTGTGTTGGTTGTGGCGAGTTGTCCTGTGGGGAGTTAGTGAGTGAATTTGCCACAGCAAGTTGGCCACGGCAAGTTGACCATGGTGAGTTGTTCCATTCCAGTACAATGCTGCTTTGAGAGGTACATTGCTAAAAGGCCCATTTGTAACTTGGAAATTTTGAAGCAATAACTAAGCCTACATCTGCTCATCCCAATAATTTGGCAGTTATTTTTTCATTTAGTTGGTGGGAGAGTTTCATACAATTAATTTATCAGTGGTTGTATTGCAGTATTTGCAAATTTTTGTCAAATGGATTGTGATTTTTCTCATAATGCTTTCAATCTGCATCTCACTATTTTGCCTCAGAAAAAAATCATGCAAATTCTTTCTTCATATGCCTTGCATTCCTCTTCCCTTTCCAATTTATTAAGTACAAGGCTTAATAGATACATCTAACACTGATTTTAAAAAGTCAGATGATGAGTTCCAAGAGAAATAGAATTACAAGTGGCCTACTGAGAAACAAACTTTTAAATATTTAGAATAATTCAATTTTTGCAGAAATAGATTGAATTTTTAAAAACACATCATAGCAAGGATTAAGTAAGGCCAATACCATGAAAAACTCATGGTCACATGGAAAAGAAAGATGTATTACAGATGTGTTTGACAAAGACATAGCTGGCTAATTGGAAAAAGGGCATATTTATCAGAAGGCAAAGAAAACTACAATATTATCATTTCTTTTTTCAGAAAACATTGTTGTATCACAATTCATCTAACCATTAATCATGAACCTTGCTGCATGGGGAGGAAACATGAATTTTCAGATACTATTTAATTCTAATATTGTTGTCAGGGTTGCTAATGATAATAACAATCATGTTGTTCTGACTTAGGCTTCCTTAGAAAGCATAAAACACAATCTTAATCCTGACAAAATCTCTTTTATTTCCACAGCTGTGAATTACGTTCATTCACAGCTGGTCAGGCTTCACACACAGTATCACATGTTTATAAACACCCACCTTATCACTCTTGGAATGCAGCCAGACAACTAATTGCCAGACATAGGGCACAGCCAAACTTGACACAGAGTCAAGCAGCACTTTTCAAAGCTTGAACCGACCAAATGAACTAATTGCTTCCTACAAAAGCTCATGTCTTTTTCACTCCTCTTTTATGTCCTATGGGAGTGGTCAATCATCTCCGAGGTGTGGCCTTACTCCTGAGTCGACCCTGCTTTTTCAATTGTTCTTGCCTTCTGCTAGTTCTGTGCATGCGCAGGCTGGGAACCAGTTCCATAAGCTCACCGCATCACTTCTGTCTAAACCTGAAGGCGGCTGCTGACTGCCACCTGCCCTGGCCCCATCTCTGCCCCTGATGCAGTGCCCTCCTCCGGATCTTCCTCAACCTCCAGACCCGGCACAGGTTCCTCCCCAAACTCCTCACTACTGTCTGACTCTGCTGCCAGCTCCATCAGCTGCTGGCGGGCCACAACAAATGTTTGCTACCCTTTCATTTGTCAAAAGCATTACTCTATAAAATGTAATTAAAAGAACAATACCCATTATCAAATGATGTGTTGAAAACTTCCATTTCTAAAAATGATGTTGCAATGCTTGGTGCCTGTCCCAAATTCCAGAACTGCTTGCTAAGGGTCCTAGAATACTGTGAAATAAAAACAGTTATTATTTTTAAGAGAATTTTAAAAAACCATTTTATTAAATATAAATATAATTTCGTTTGCATAAAGTTCTACTTCTTAGCAGAGATAAATTAACAATACAATAATAATAATAATTATTAGTATGAAATTTATATATATTTTATTGTGATTTGACCAACCATAAGATTTATTATAAAACCAGAAAACAATGCAGTGTCTTGAAAGTAACAAAGAATTCTAATATAATGGCTCAGAATGACTACTAGAAGATGATCTTTTATGGAAGAGAATTTTTTAAAGATTGTTTGTTAATAAAGTTATTTTTTTCTACAATATTTAAATTGATGATGGCTATAGCAAAAGAACAAATTACAAGCTCAGGAACAAGTCAAATATAAGTATAAAAGGTGTTTTGGACGCCTTTTAAAAATAACCTAACTGAATGGTGTGAAAAAGATAAAAAGGCTTTTACTTTGTGAGCAGAACAGAAGTCATTATGACTTGTGAGAAAGTGTCTCAAACTCAGGCTAAAGAGGAGTTGTAACAATATAGGGAGATGTTCAAATCAAGCTGAAGAGATAAGCAGGATGTGTTAGGGACTGAGAGCAGGAGAATGGCCATGAACTGTAACAAAGTGTGTAGAAAAACTGGATGCGGGTAGAACAATGGAGAACTGTAATAGGGTGTATACGTGTCAGAAACCGTGTAGCTGCTTATGCCTCAAAATCCGAAATGAATATGTATCAATTTGAAATAGGAAGAATGTGAGCCAAGCCCTCGTACGAGGGGGGGCGGACAGTTAGGGTATAAAAGTGCCGTTTGAATTTTGCTCTGCATTCCTTCAATGCCTGAGGGAACCCGTTTTTGCAAACACGTGAATTAAATCTTGTTTTCCTTGGATCAACGAACCTTGTGGTGGTCTTTTCGTAGCCTCCCACCTCACAATTTGGCGCCCAAAGCGGGGCCTCACGGAATTCTGATCAGAGACAAGGGATCGGGTAAGTGTGGTGCCAACTCTCCCGTTGTGAGAGACCCCTCCCTAGTCTCGGTTGGAGCCTGAGGTGACTGCACTCAACAGATGATCCTTGGAAACAAGTGAGAGAGAAGCTGGCCTGACGCTCCGGGAGTGTCCTTGATTGCCTGAAGTGGGGACACCCACCATTCCTTTGTCTCCGGGAGACCAGGAGTGCATCAGGTGAGTTTGTCACCTTTCGGAGAAGGGGAAGGAATCTGCTGTCCTTAAACTCTGGGAATCCAGCGTCTGCTGGAGGACAGTGGTAATTCGAGAAGTCAGGAATCTCTGGGAGATTAGTGGCGGGTAGCGTGAGAGATGGGGAAGGGACAAAACAAGTGTGAGACATTCCAAGAGGGAACAGACATAAAAGTAAATGATTTATCTGTGCAGAATCAGGTGGCCAAAATATCCCCTAGTAGACCCTGAGTTTCCTTACCACTGGGATCCCGAAGGGAATACCAGTAAGTACTGGATAACTCAGTTGAAAGAATACATAGTGAGACACAGAATGAAGGAACAGATACCATATGTAGAGGTATGGTATCATGTTCACTTCGAAGGACCGATTCCACCAGAGACAGAAGCAGGGCAGTTTGTCAGTAAGCCGGAGGAGAATGGCAGCAAGGCAGAGGAGTGGCTGAAAAGTCCTCCAGCGTCTGCCCCGGTTCCGGCACCACCGGCTTATCCAGGACTGAGAAGGGAACTGGCCCAATTGAATAAAGACCTAGAGAATTTTCCTCTAGGAGGAAGACTGGATAATCCCGTTCCGGCCTTCCCGGTCAGAGAAGTCCCAAATGGCATGAATGCCCAGGGGGCACCTGTCACAGTTTTTGTGGCTGTCCCCATAAAAGCTACAGAGCTACGGGATCTGAAAAAGACTCTTCCGAAGCTTCATGAGAATGCTCATGAGGTAGCGGAACAGTTAGAGTTATTTTTAGGGCCAATGGAATATACATACCAAGAACTGATGTATATTCTTGGACACCTTTTCACCCCCGAAGAGAGGAATCTCATTAGGAGGGCAGCAACGGCTGCCTGGGATAAGAGACATGCAGGGCAACAGGGAGCAGTGGCTGCAGACGCAAAGTTCCCCATAGCTGATCCAAATTGGAACATCAATGATGACACTCATAGGGGGCACATGAGAGACATGAAACGCATGATTACTGAAGGAATTAAATTGGCTATCCCTCAAGGGAAAAATTTGACCAAAGCATTTGAAGTAACACAAGGAAAGGATGAGTCCCCAGGGGATTTCTGCGCTCGGCTCCGGGAAGGGTTAACTAAGTACTCTGGAGTGGAGCCAGAAACCCCTGCCTTCGAGACTCTCCTGAAGCTGCAGTTTGTCACCAAGGCATGGCCAGACATCCAGAAAAAGATTCAGATGATGGAGGGATGGACTGATTTGGGCATGACAGATTTGATGAGAGCAGCCCAGCAAGTTTTTGTGAACCGAGACTCAGTTAAAACCAAACAGAAGTCTCAGATGATGGTAGCTGCTGTGCAAGCGACAGCCAAGAATGAAGTTAGGAAAGACAGTGAGATCCGGATGCCAGATCCGAGGCCAAGGTGGAGAGATGAAAGATCTCCAGGCAGAGAGTGGAGACCTCCAATCAGGCGAGGGGGTCCAGGGGGCAACCGATTTGGCCGATTCCAATGGCAGCTCCAGGACAGAGCTTGCTTCAAGTGTGGGAAGGAGGGACATTTTGCACGCGAATGTCCCACGATCCGGGAAGAACGAAGTTACGCTTTGAATGATTAGGGAGGTTCCGGCTCTCCAAGAGGGACCCGCGGGGAGCCATTGGTAAATGTGTTAGTGGGTCCTGACCATCAGGAACGGCTGTTCCTGATTGACATCGGCGCAAGCCGGACATCTGTATGCGATCCGGTAAAGGGAGCATGCAGGTCGAAGCAGACTTTGAAGGTGATTGGGGTGAGTGGGAAAACCCAAGAGGTCAAGATTTTGGAAGAAGTGAGATTGGAATTGAATGATGTGGTCACGGAAACCGAAATATTGTATATTCCAGATTCAGGGATGAACTTGCTAGAAGAGACTTGTTGGATGTTTTTGGAATAGAATTGTGGGATAGAAGGAAGGAAGTTTGCATGTGTATGTTAACAACGGAAGATGAGGAGAAGATATCATCAGATGTGTGGGCAGGAGGTGAAACAGGGATTGTTGGAGCCTACTATGTCTGGTGTCCTTTGAGAGAGGGAAGGGGATCACGCTAATTCAGTACGTAGATGACTTGTTGTTGACAGGTGAGAAGGAGAAGGAAGTGCGAGCAGCCTCAGTTCGTTTGTTGAATTGGTTGAAAGAACAGGGTTTGAAGGTATCGAAGGAAAAATTGCAATTTGTTGACAAAAAGGTGAAGTACCTAGGTCATTATATCCAACAGGGGACTAGATCCTTGGACCCTGAACGGGTCAAGGGAATTATGGAAGTAGCTCCCCCGAGGAACAAGACTGAGGTGCGGAAGGCATTAGGGTTGCTGGGATATTGCAGGATTTGGGTAGACCAGTTCACTGTGTTGGCTCAGTTCCTGAATAAGAAGTTGGTGGATAGTAAGAAGGAGTACGTGCTTTGGGAAGAAGGAGATGATGAGAAGTGGGAGACTCTGAAGAGAGCCCTGGCAACAGCACCAGTGTTGGCTTTGCCTAACCTGAAGTTGCCTTTCCATCTGTATGTGTCAGCCTCTCAGGGAACTGCAGTAGGTCTCCTTGCACAGAATAGGTGGGGGCGTTATCAACCAGTGGCTTTCCTGAGTAAAAGGTTGGAGCCTGTTGTGAGAGGGTGGCCAGTTTGTGTTCAGGCTATGGCAGCAACAGCGATGTTGGTGGTGGAGAGCAAGAAGTTAACCTTTGGGGGAGTTTTGGTGGTGCATTCTCCTCACCAGGTCAACTCAGTGTTGAGCCAGTTGGCTACCACTTGGATGACAGAGGGGAGGATATTGAAATATGAAACCATTCTGAGAACCAGTCCTGATGTGGTAATAGGGATAGATAGGAATCTGAATCCGGCAGAGTTCTTAGAGGGGAGAAGGCAGGAGTGGGAGCCGGAAGATCATGATTGTCTGTTGCAAGTGGACCTCATGACGAAAGTTAGGGAAGATTTGGAGAGAAGGAGGGATGCATCAAGACCTCGAGGGGGTGGGAAACACCTGAGGGGGTCAGGGTGGTCTCTGCTGTTACAATGAGAGGGATTTTGGAGAAGGTTCATGAAGGAGGGCATTGGGGAACGGAAGCTCTGGTGATGTCTGTTAAATCTCATTATTGGAGCTTGAAGATGTGGACTACAGCTCAGAGCATTTGTTGGAAATGTCTGATTTGTCTGAAAGTAAACAAAAAGGCTGCAAAGAAGAAAGAAATGGGAGGGTGACCTATAGTGGGATGGCCTTTCCAAAGAGCGCAAATTGATTTCACTGAGTTACCAGAAAAGTGGGGTTGGAAATATTTGTTGGTCATAAAAGATCAGTTGACTGGATGGGTGGAGGCTTACCCCACCAGAAGAGCCACTGTGACTAAGATCTTGTTAGAACAGATCATCCCACGATATGGAACGATGGAAGCAATAGATTCAGACAGAGGAACTCATTTCACCCAAAAGGGGTTTCTCCCTTTGAAATGCTGATGGGGAGACCCTATTTGGCCAAACTAGGCAATCCCATACCAGAGTTCAGGGACTTGTTCCTTCGGAAATATTTGCTGGCACTGTCTCGGTCTTTGCTTTCTCTTCACAAACAGGGACTGTTGGTGCAACGACCACCTTTGGCTGGTAGCCAACACCCACACGAGGCTGGAGACTGGGTCCTGATAAAACTTGGAAGAATGAGAAGCTGCAGCCTAGCTGGGAAGGCCCGTACCAGGTGCTGCTGACTACTGAATCGGCCGTTCGCACTCGGGAAGGAGGCTGGATGCATTACAGCAGAGTCAAGAAAGCACCAGATCCAAATTCTACGTGGAGGGCAGTTCCAGTGGACGGACAAC